TTTTAAAAAAGAATAAACTTCATAATTGCTGTTTTGAAATCACTGTTATTGCATAAAATTTTGCAATCCCGCAATTTATTATTACTATAATAATAATATTATTATTAATCAATCTGTGCCGGATGAGTTATTTAAACAAGAAAGCAACAAATTTTCTTTTGAGACAATGAGAGCAGAAGTTAAAGAAGTGATTGAAATTCTTGGTGGATCTGTTGGATATACAAAAAGAGAAACACCTGATAATATTCGAGATAAGTTCAATTAAAGAAGAAAAAGAAATTGTAATATTTTTCTATTATAAAATGTATAGCAATATGATTTATTATAAGAGTTCTGCAAAAATAAATTACTGCTAAAAATTAGCAAATGTGGAAAACGAAATAATGCAAGTATTGTTGTTATGAACCTGACGACCCGACTGTTCATAGGTGGTGGTAATATTAGTATTAGCAGTTCGCGGCAACAAACATCCATTAGCATATCACACAAGCAAAATATTAAATGATGAAATTGCTAAATTGAATTTAAGTAATGATAGCTTATTAAGTTATGAAATATAATTTCAACAAGGTAAATTAAATAGTTAATTAACTGAAATTTATTAATTATTAATATGATTATTTATTAATTAATTATAATAAAGGATAAGTAGTTGAAAGAAGGGTTGGCAAGGTTAAAGTTTTAAAAGGTTGGAAATTACTGATGGATAATTAATTTCGCCATTTTTATTTATATTATTTATTAAAAGAATAAAGACAAATTATACAAAATGACCCATTATCACTTATTTGACTTTTAATAAATTCACAAATAATAAAACTTATAGCAGTTGATAAAAGTGAAGTAATGTGGAAGCATTTCTAAAGCAGCAGAATGGTCTTGCATAGGAAATTTTTATATAACTTGCAATGTTGTTTGTCATGGAGCTTGGTCTAAAAACCTCCTAAATTTAGGGCAAATTTTAAAAGTATAGAAGTCACTTTCTGTCCTACCTTTTAAAAAAATAGCTCTATTAATTGATAGAATATGACTTTAGTTTTAATGTAATAGAGAGATTTTCTCAAAAAAATTATTTGTTGTAGAGTCTTATTCTTTTTTAAAACATGTACAGTCACGTCACAAAGTAATGCCTGATTTTCCTGTGTAATGACAATACAATGCATTTACACAGCCCGTTTCTTCCCCTTTTTTGTATAACTTTTCTCATCTTAAACATATCTATTGCCATATCAGCATGCAGTTCGTGAGTTGACAGGAGGTTCTGTGGTTTATCAACAGGACAACGCACCGATCCATACTTCAAAAGCAACCAAGGAATAGCAACTATTGACTGGCCGGCGAATTCGCCAGACCTGAACCCGATAGAGAACATTTGGAAGTTGTTAAATGATAATATCCAAAAGCATGAAGACTTTCCGAGAACTGTGAACGAACTTAAAATTGCATTGAGAGAGGAGTGTGAAAATTTGGATCGCTCTGTTTTCGAGGAGGTTGTTACCTCAATACCAAAAAGAATCGATGCGGTATTAAGAGCAAATGGTGGGCCGACAAAGTATTAGTTAGATATTAATTTTTTTTTATGTACTGTATAAATTGCTAAAAAATAAAAAAAATCAAAAAATATCTTTATTTTCGGTTTCAATTTTGAATCGGGCGTTACTTTGTGACGTGACTGTACAGTACATATTATGATTTTATATAAGATAATAAATATTGTGCAAAACTTCTATAATATGGCGCCAAATATAATAAAATCGGGAAAAAACTAATAAGTGTTCAAAACCAGTCCAATTTCATATTTTTATTCAATCACCAATAAAATAATTGACTCGCAGAAAATATCTCAAACAATGGGAAATAAAATATTCTAACATTCTAAAATGTAAATGACATTTAATTCTTAGATTTAATTTAAAACGAAGGAATTTAAATAAACTCGAAATAATTATACACAGAAGGTTCAAGTAATACATTTAATTAGAATAAGTTAGATTTCAAAGAAATCGGAGGACAACATTTATTTTAATAATATTTCAGGTGGTTTATTGGGTTCACCTAATCTCATGAATATTAGATAAGCTTTCTGATGAAGGTTAGCATAAATTCACTACTTTCTCCTATAAATCAAATCCAATTTAATGTAGTAAACTTACATATATTTGGTTGTGTGTTTTAAAAAAGGTAAAAAAGGATTTTATGGGTTGGGATATGTACACCAAAGTTGCATCCAAATATCGGTGGTATCTTCAATATTACAAATGTTGAACCAGCATTAGGAGAGTTTGTGGGACGAAGTTTAATGCATTGGGTTTAAATTTCTTTTTTTCAGAATTGATTTTTAAGGAACTGCAACATATTAGTATCAGTTAGTGATGAGTTGTAACTATTATACATATGTATATTGCAATGATACCATAGCAGTATTTATAAAAATCTATAATAGCCAAACACCTGTTACTAAACTTGTATACAATCAGGATGAGGAACTTACTGCTGAAATTCCCACTATGATTTGGACAAAAGAAGAATAAGGTGAAAGAAGTTTCATGCCTAAGAAGTAAATAATATGAATAAGGTAACATAACTTTCATCTCCTACATGGGAAGACAAAAACATAAATGGTTTATTTTACTAACTCTGCTAAATTTTCTCATTTTTACTTGTTAGGAGGACATGGCGTGGCTTCTTTAAATTGGTTCCTTAAAAGTTAATTTGTGCATACATGGTCACAGTATTTCATTACTGAGATATTTTATTGGTTGTAAATTCAAGAAACATATGTCAAATAGCAACAAAATGTCTTCAAAGAAAAGATTGTTGAAAACATCTGCAATGTTATACAATTTGGGGCACATTTCAATGGTTTTTTGTTTTTAAGATATATATACATATTACACCAGTCTTTAT